ATATATATATATTTATTTATTTATTTATTTATATATATCTTAATCTATTGGTTGAATTATTTTATTTTTTGATATCTTTCTTCTAAATTTAGTTAGCAAATATATATTATTCAATAGATAAGAAAAGAATACAATCCGAAAAATAGAAAAATACATGGACATCTATATTATATTAAAAGGAGAATAGTGAAGCATGTGGTTAAGTCAAGTGGCAAGCTAAAAAGAAGCCACTTGGTTAATTTTAAGACAACAATAGAAATTTGAATTACAAATAGAAACATAATTAATGGAAATAGTTTAACAAATCTTATGCTCTATTTTAATAAATCTTAGACAAATTTAATCTATATATCTACATTTAAATTTATATTTATATGTATATTTGTAGCTATATCTATATATGAAATAGAATATTCATATAATATTATTCCTTTTATAGAAATAATTAGGTATTTACAATTTAAATATTATCATATAAGGGGTAATATTATATGCCAAGCAATATTCTTGATTTTTATCATATTGATATATAAAAATTCCTAACTAAAAAATAAATTTTATATTTTGAATTCAGAGTTAATCATACTTATTTATAATTATCATTTAGTACCGTAATTATAGGTCAAGATAAAATTAGACTATTTGATTAGTCAAGTCAAGTGCCAAGATAAAAAATTTATTTGATTATTCAAAATATTTTAGACTATTCAAAAAAAAAATTACAATTTTTTTTAGCTTGCCATTTGATTTAACCACTTGACTTAACCACATGCTTCACCATTCTCTTTTTTAATATAATATAAATGTTCAGATATTTTTCTAATTTTTTGGATTGTATTCTTTTCTTATATATTGAATAATATATATTTGCTAACTAAATTTAGAAAGAAAGATATCAAAAAAATAAAATAATTCAACAAATAGAAATAGATTAAGATATATATATATATATATATATATATATATATATTATTCTCTTATGGAAATTTTAACTATAAATTTTAACTACAAGAATGTTGGTGTAAGGATTCGAACCTTGTACCTCAAGGACAAAACCACCTTTATAGCTACCCTTCAACCATTAGGCCACCCAATGGTTGTGTGCATAATGTGGTGATTTAATGTGTTATATATATAACACAGTTAATTGGTTTTATACTGCGCTATATATAAAATGGTAACTTTTTTCTTTTTACACTTATTAATGTTACTTTTGTCCAAAAAGACAACATTTTGGTTTCGGACTCCATCTTCAAGACCTTCTAGATCAGACAAATCATCTACACCAACCTGCACCCCTTCTGTAAAATCAGCTTGCTCCCCATGTGAATCTTCAATAAATATATTATCACCCTCACCAACTTCTGGTCCACTAAAATAAATAGTTGGGGCCACACTGTCCACAACTACAACCTCATTAACAACTTGTGACACATATAAGTCCAATAGGTCACCATGTTCTAAGTCCTTAACTAGGTCTAATATTTTTAAATCAAAATCTACCAACTCAAAGTTATTGCTTTTTGAGTTTTTACAATATAGCCCTCTAACAGTATCATAACCAATTTTTTTGTGTAGTAAGACAATTCACACAATGAGAAATGGTCTTTGTCAATTGAAAAATTTTCCACACCTTTTTCACCAACATATGTAGGTACAAGGTCATTGATTAATGCCCCCCATAGTGAAGACAAAGTTACTATGAAATCAGACATAGAAATTACCCTGAACGAAAAGTCAAAAAAGGGACACAGTTACCTAAGAGAATATTCACACACATAATTAAAAAAAAAATCCTAATTTCTCTATTAATGAGAAAAACCCTTGAATACATCAAAACAAAGTAAGTAAGAGGAGAAACAATACCTCGAAAGTTGGGATAAAAATATTGTCACTAATCTGTCGGCACCACCACGAGTCGATAGTGAAAACTTAATAAAAACCCACGAGAATCAACATGAAAAGCACCAACTTAGACGAGGAATAGAGAGAATAACTTGATATTGCAGTGAAACCGAAACAAGAAGAAGTGAGATGAAATTGAACGGAGGAAATTTTCAATAAGTTTTTTAGGGCACAAAGTTGCCAGAGCCGAAGGTCAGGTTTTTCATTTTTTGAAAATGAGTTCCAATTTATTTTGGGATTTAATTTTATAAGGTGGACAATTTAATTACGTGGAAAAAGTTTAGTGGTTAAATTTAAGGTGTTAGAGGCAAGTGTAACACACACATATAATTTTTCTAAAAGTTTTTCTCAGATGGTCTAGAAAGTGTTTAATTGGCACATAAAAAGTTTAATTGAAGTGCCTGATAGGAACAACTCTATGTTTAGGTGTCTAAGTGACCAAAAATGCCAAATTTAAGGGCTCACTTATGTATTTTGCCTAAAATTAATCAGTTACACTCCGTATACTATGAAAATCCTACTCCAAGTGCAAGCGGCATTTGCTTAAAACCGAAAAGAAAAAATAGGTATATGAAACGCTAGAAGGAGGGGTTGAACCTCCGACCTTGTGGTTAACAGCCACACGCTCTAACCAACTGAGCTATTCCAGCTTTCTTGTGTGATTAGATCATAATTTATTTGACAATGGGTAAATCTCTTAGCACGTGCATGTCACGAGATCCATATCCCTGGACGAGCAGCGCTCAGCATTTGGCCGTTCGCACCGAAATCCAAATGCAATGTGGAGTCTGGACGCCACAAATTCTTACACTTAGATGCGTCTGAAATCTTTGTTTGTGGGAAACTTATTCATTCTTCGCTCTGTTGAATCAAAAGAAGCATTGCAATCGAACGAACTAGAAATTTTGTCAGCAATGACGGAGGATAATTGCCCTAGAGTTTCATCTTCCGAATCTTTAGACTCCAATTCTTCATCCCCGAAGCAAAGGTGCATAAAGTTTTCGTCCTTATAATTTTATAATATCGAAGGCACTTCAATTGAGATCTAAGTTTCTCTTAATATCGTTGACTTAGGTAAAAAATTGAAACTTCACGTATTTATTAAATTTTGTTCCCCATCTCCTGAACATGTTTTTGATTGATTGTGTATACCTTCACCGTTTGGGATTTAGCCTAGCTGATTGAAATTTCGCATGATTGTGTCTACTTTTCCACGATAATCCTTTTGATGTATTATTGGCTCTATGAGATTGTCAATATCCTTTTAGTCTGATGCTAAGCTGGAAAAATTGGCATTAGTTATAAAATTGCAACTCTATAGGAACAACTGACATTGAGGTAATGGAAGTAGTAAAAAGGGTAGCCCGGTTCACTAAGCTCCCGCTACGCGCGGGATCCGGGGAAGGGCCGAACCACAAGGGTCTATTGTACACAACTTTACCTTACATTTCTGTAAGAGGCTGTTTCCACGGCTCGAACCGCTGACCTCCTGGTCACATGACAACAACTTTACCAGTTACACCAAAGCTCCCCTTCAGGTAGTGGAAGTAATATTTTCAAATATACTTTCTAGGAGCGGTTTAACCTTTCAGAGATTTATTTGGAAAATATACAGAATTTCTGATACTTCTTATTTGTATTCGCATAATATTGGCATAATATGATTTAAGTAGACTAACGTGTTCAGTGAGTATTTGTATAGCCGACCAACTTGTTTAGGACTGAGGGATAGTAGCTGTTTTTGTTTTTTTTAGAGAAGCTGGTTTAACACAATAAGCATTAGTGGAATTGTTTGCATTATGCTGCAGAGGAGGAAAAAAAATAAGCATAAAAGTTTATATACTCAGGCCGAATAGAGCTGAATTGATATAGAGATTCGCATAACTGCCCCCATCTAGTTTAGGATTGAGTCATAGTTGAGATTCATGTCATAAATTGATTGGTTTTCTGTTGATGTATCTACAGTAACCCTCCTCTTTTTTTGCGCTTGGTACCGGCATGTGAGCACAAACAAGATGCGAAGCTCATACCTAAGAAATTATTTGATTGATTGGTAAATATTTGGGAAAAAATGTACCAAGTTCAATCATGTCGGCAACAACTTTATAGTCTAATAAGAAGTTCCACATAAACTCTTTTGGTGGTTTAACTTTTCAACATCTTCCAGGAAGAGGAGAAAGTGGGATCAGCCTGCGGAGACATTTGTTCCAGATGGAGTAGCAGTATCTGGGATTTTTCCATTGGCACACATGGGATCTTTTGCTGGTGTCCCATTACCTGGTGTAGCTCCAGTCTTAGGTGCTGCTTTTGTGAATCCTCTTACCGCTATTGGTGCTACTACAGTGCAGCAGCATCCTCTCATTGTTGCCCAAAAATTAATTCAAGTATGATTTATCGGAGAAGCTGCTGCTTAATCTTTTCTAGTTTGGAAGTTTTCCCCTATTACTTGAGAGTTGTCACCCACCTCTATTTGTTATTATCAATGTATTATTCACATATCACCCAACATGTGCTTCTCTTCCTTTTCCTTGGGCCGGACATTATTTCTGTTATCAGTAGCCTTTTCCCATTATCTGCCTCCTTATATCATTAATCAACACGTTCTCTGGTTCACTTTCCTGCTGCTGTCCTACTGCAAATCAGCAGTTAATGTGTTTGTTATGCGTCCTTTGAGTTTATATTGAATCTGCCATGCACTTTATGCCATTTTTCTGTTATCCTTCTACATACTGTTGTTTAACATCAGCTTTCTTTTTTGTTTGGGTCATTTCTGATTTTCCTATCATGAACTATTGCAGCCAAAAATTCAGGATGAGTTGATAGCAAGAGAAATTGTCATTAATGACGCTGATCCGGCTGTTCGTTACAGGCTCACAAAGCGCCAAACCCAGGAAGAGGTGAATATTTTTTTTATCTGTAATACTAAAGAGGAGTCGAGAAGCAAAAAGTGATTATATTAAGGTTATGCACATTATTTATTGATTAATTATCATTGTTTCTGCAGATTCAGAAGAGCTCGGGCGCTGTGGTTATAACTAGGTAGTACATCATGAAGTCTTATATTGCTCATTGTTTAGCTTTTATTTGCAGTGTAATACCTGTTTAACCTGGCTATTGCAGGGGTAGATACAGGCCTCCAAACGCACCATCTGATGGTGAAAAACCCCTCTACCTTCATATTTCTGCTGGGGCACATGTAAGCAATTTAGTTATTTGCTTTTAAGATGCACCATTTGGTTCAGGAAGATTGCTAATAAAGTTTTGTCCATCACTAAATTGCATAGATGAATCATTTTTCTGAGCATTTTAATTACTCAACACATTTGCCTATTGTTAACTTGTTTCTCTTAGTTTGGTTTCTGTGTTTTCCCGACCATTGAAGTGGTTACCATCAATATTCTTCTGCTTTATTCTCTAGCTAAGAGTTCATTTACTGCTAGGTTTTTTCCCGATTTATCCAATATATACTAATTACTACATATGGTTGGAGAATCTTGGAAATCTTTTCTCTTTTAAAGCAAAAGCTGTGGTGGAGCAGATCATATTCACATTTCTGAACCTTTCTATTTTTTATTTTTATTTTAATGTCTACAATTTTTATCTATCCATCCTAATTTAATGCTCTTGTTTGACTTGGCTAAGGTAGTGAGAGTTGAAAAGATAAAAGTTTAGAGTTAGAAGTCCACAAATTATTTTTGCTTTCTTAGGAACAAATTTAAAAAGATGTTGAGTAGAGAAATGTAAAAGGGGGCCTCGTTAACTTTCTGGTTATGTTGTATTTGATAAAACCCTTCCTCATATGGAAGTTGAACTTATCTTGGGTCACATTATGAAGAAATATTGACGTTCTTTGAAGTGGGACTTATCTCTGTAATCTATCATGTTTTTAATGTTTTGACCTCACTGTACTGTGTAAAGTTATTGTTACGGTGTATTTACAAGTACTATGGTTGATTCAGCTAGAAACAACACTGGAGAGGATTAAAGCAGTTGATCGTGCTGCCGCTATAGTGGAGGAAATGCTGAAGCAAGGTACTGTTAACAATGGATTGAAGGTAAGTAGTATCTGGTAAGGTTTGACAGGAGCTGATGCCAGAAAATTACTGTAACATCTAACTCTTTTACCATCAGGTCAATCATCTGCTTAGCACCTGTGTCTACCTGGGCTTTGAGGCTGATCCATCAGCAAATATTGCTGCTCGAATTCGTGGACCAAATGTGAGCTCCCTCTATCTAACTTTGCCTTTTTCCCCCTGGTTTGTTGAGTTATGGTGGTATGGTCGAGGGTTAACTGTTTTGGGAAATTTTCAATGGAGATCTCTCGCATAGTTAGCAACATAAAATGGCAGAACCTTTTATTGTATGATTTTTATCCATTTTCCTTTTCAATTTCTTTTCTCTATTTGTTGTGAGTTGCTTGCAAGTTCAGATATCGGGAAAGTACAACCAGTCTTTACTTCTCTATTATTGATCTGATGTTGGCATTGATTAATTATTGTCTCTCTTTATTGATCAGATTCTGGTCTGAGTAATTATATGATTGTTTCTTTCCAGTAGATTCTGTGTAATCTATTTCCCCACCCTGTTTTGGCATGCATTGATTCTTGATGTGCTCTTCTTAAATTTACTCTAATTTATAGAAAGCCAAGAGATTCTAATGTTCTGAGCTTTCTCTGACATCTCCGTCCATTTGGAGAGTTTTTCTTCTGTGCTGGTGGTTGGCTTTTGTAAGTGCAGGATCAGTATATAAATCACATTATAAATGAAACTGGATCGACTGTCTTGCTAAGAGGGCGTGGTTCGGGATATTCAGACGGAGGACAGGGTGAAGGTGCCTATTTGTTGATTTTTGAGGCAATGTTTTCCCATGCTCCGTAGTTAGCATGATAAGATCAGTTATCAACTATGCACCACTGGCCCTCGGGGGTTTCTTGGTTATAATAAAGATTCCTCTTGAATGTATTATTTTTATGTGCAGATGTGCACCAACCTCTGCATTTAATCATATCAAACAATAACAGTGCAAGTCTTGAGCGCGCAAAGCTTTTGGCAGAAAATCTTTTGGATACTATTTGTGCGGAGTGTGGTGCTTCTAGGTATGCATGTTTCTTTGAGTGTTTGAAATGTAATTGCAACATTTTAACTTTTTGTTCAGAAGAGGTTTATATGGTTGTTGTTTGGTATGATTCTGTTTCTTCTGTTGTTAGACATACCCGAATCCTCATCTTTGTGACTGTCATTGTGCAGAGTCTCTTCTTGTAAGGTTTATGGTGCTGTTCCCCCTCCACCACAACCGTTAGCCAGCAGTCAGAGTTCTGGAAGTGAATCAGAAGTCAATAGCATACCTGCAGCCAATGTAGCTGCACAGATTCTGAGCTCCACAACAGCAGCAGCAGTTCCCGTGACTGCAGCTGCAGGCGTGACTAATGTTGTTTCTCACAGTACATTGCCTCAACCTCAACCTGTAGGTTCTCTGAATCCTGTGCCATCTCAACCTCCCACCGGTTGCTATCCTCATCAATTAGTTACAAGCAGAACAAGCTATATTGGTTATGATGGTATATATCCACAAGTCACTCCTCTGCAGCAAGTTGCTTTGGCTCTTAGGAATTCTACTTCTCCAGTCACCGCCACAGTTGCTCCAGCTACAACAGGAGCAAGCATCACTTCACAGACAAGTATAGGTTCTGAGAAGGAGAAGCGTCCTGCACAGAAGCGTAAATTTCAGGAGCTGCCGGCTGCTGGAAAGGGCCAAGCAACTGTAAACCAGGTATGTGCTAAATCTCCTTGACCTATACTAAGGTATCTCTAGGCAATTGCCTTTAACTGGTTTTTGATGAGAAAATTATAAATGGTGAGGAAGAACACTGAAAGCAGTTCTTGTTATAATTTCTGGCAAAGGAATCTAGACTGGAGTATTCAGGGGTTCTTCTGTTATCGCTTTCTGCTCATTGAAGTACGCAATGGGGCACTGGCAGTGCAAAAATTGTTGCTCCAATGGCCTTTCTTTTGGATGAGGGCTAAAATGATACTTAGATGAATATGATTCAAAAAAAAAGGTTGATGATATATGAATAGTGGCACTATTACTATTTTTAGAAAAATTAATTTTGAACTTCTAATTCCAAAAGCTAATGGGTGCCATAGTAAGAACTAAAGGTTAAACCCGTAAAATTTATATCCTGGATCCAACCTTATCGTAATGGTGAACCCAACTTCCTAAAATCTTGGATCCACCTCTGAATATATAGATGACCATGCTTCTAGAAGTTTTAGATTCGTTGTAAGAAGAATAGAGATTGTAGGTTTTTGGCTTTTCGCTGATGTAACGTCCATATTTTGGTGTCCAACACAAACTTTGTGCTGCTGATTTACACACACAACTATAAACCCAGTGTAATCCCAGATCCCACAAGTGGAGTCTGGAAGGGTAGTGTGTACACAGACCTTACCCCCACCTTGAAGGTAGAGAGGCTGTTTCCGATAGACTCAAAAAAAAAGAAAAAAAAGAAAGGAAGTTTCCTTTAGTGGTTATGGCTGAGAGGTCACTGAAGTTGTATTGATTCCTATTCCTCATTTTGAGGGCCTCTTTGCCTACTTTCGAAACTCCTGTGGTTTCTCCAAAGTTATGCTGAAACTAACCTTTCATAAACGGTGGCATCATAGCAATAGCCTGTATATCTGCCTCGTTATATCATAAGTTATGTCCTTAATTATTTCTTACAGCTTGAGTGGTCTTCTGCGCAGTAGTATCCTGTTTATGTGATTAGGTTCTTACTTCGCCTTCACTATATAAATGGTATTAATAAAGGATGAAGTGCAGCTTGTGTAGCATGGTGATTAGCAAAATCTGGATTTATCAGATTCTCCTATTTTGGGTCTCTTTTAAACTTAGTTTGCCTTCACCCAACATCTTAGTTTCTATTCAGCCCTCACATGTGGCAACTAGCAATCCATGGGCTTCATACTGATCTGGATCTAAAATTCCAATGTGCTAGTTAATTAAAAGAGCCTTATATCCCCTTACATTTACAAGAATTAGGAATTTATTAGTTTGATTCATTCCCTTAATTGCGTTGGCTATTTTATAATATTTTCCTGTTAAGTTTTTTTTTTGTTGTGGGGGGNCAAATTGAGCATTTGAAATTCCTCAAATTTCCTTAACATTTTCAGATAAATGCATATATTTATTTCTGGTCTAACCTTTTCTACTTGATATTCCAGGTAATTTCTCTGACCTTGTATGAAGCTAACAGGCTGATAGTGGAACTCTGTTGGACCTTTGTATGTTTCACAGGATTCTGGGACATGGAGGCATGGGTTGCTGCGTGCTATTTCGGTTCTTTTTTATGGTGCCGATGCATAGAGACCATGCCCCTTTTGGTTTTGGCATTCTGTCAATTGTTTATAAACTAATTTGAAATGCACATTCTTAACCAATAACCAACTTTGCCTCTACTATTCAAAGGGTGATAAGACTGAGATCACATTACATTCTGCATGTGAGGCTTTCAAACAATTTCTTCTTCACTCTAAACAGAAAATGTTTTTGTTTTGGGCATCTGCAATATTTTCATTTTCCAAACATAATGATCTAAGCTCCTTGAAGGGGAGCCTTGGCGTAATTGGTAAAGTTGCTGCCATGTGACCAGGAGGTCACGGGTTCAAGCCGTGGAAACAAATGCAAGGTAAGGCTGCGTACGATAGATCCTTGTGGTCCGGCCCTTCCCCGGACTCCGCACATAGCGGGAGCTTGGTGCACCGGGCTGCCCATTAATGATCTAAGCTCCTTGTAGCAAGTGACAGAAGAAAAGTTAAGTTGCATATCCAACATTTGCAAGTTATTCAAGTGGAAATCAATAATTCTTAGGATCATACATTTATTTTAAACTTAGCTTGCTTGCTACTATACAAGTAAAAGAGTGTTCAAGTATGTTTTTGGAAAACTCAAAACTTTTACCTCCCTTCTTTCCTGGAATTGATAAGTTTTATGGGTGGACTCCATCTCCCTCTTTGGTTGTCAGAATTCATTGCAGGGTTCAGAGCTCCCAACGCCTCAGGATCGAATGTTAGACGCAGGTTATCGATGCAACATTGGAGCGACTCCGAAAAAGTTGGTTCAGCCATTATCCAGTCCGATGCCACCGCCACCTCCTAGGATGATGCCTCCTCCACCACCACCACCACCAAAGTTTCATTCATCAACAGAGAAAGTGCATGCCAACAATGTAGCTCACAAAACACCATGTAAAATTGTTCCAGGTATTTGCTAGTACTCTAGCCTTTTGGTCTCAAGATTTAAATTAACTCTTGCTTGGCTTGTATACTAGTGAGACCTACAGACCTTCATCCCCCCCTTCCTTTTCTTGCATTTCTTGTTACTAAGGATGTGGTATGAAGGAAAACAAATGTTTTCCGATTTTTCCATGTCTGGTTGGTACGAAGGAAAACATTTTCTCTAGAAAAAAATCAGGGAAGTCACCTTCCCTGGTGGGAGTAGGGAAAACAAGTTTCATAAAGTAGCATTTGACTCTGATTTCCACCCTCCACCCTCCACCCTCGACTACTATCCTCACCTTCTCACACTGCCCTGCCCCTTACCCCATGCTGATTATTTAATGGTTTGATTCAATTTGTACATCTCAGATACTTTAGTCCAGCTAATGGAATATGGGGATGATGATGACGATGATGACACTGATGAAGCAATTGACAGACCTTTGAAAAGCAGCTCAAATGTGTTAGCAGCTCCGAAACCATTCTGGGCTGTTTAATAATGAGCATTGCACATCTCTTGAAAATTTTGGCAGCAGCTGAATGTTAACTGGACTGAATGATCGTTTCAATGTACCTGGAACTGGCTGGTGGATTTTCCTTGGCTGAGGATCATGTTTATTGTGAAATATTTAATATGTACCCCCACCCCCAACAACAAAAAAAAAAACCCAAAGAAAAAGACAAAGAAGCAAGGGGGGGACCAAAATGGGGAAAGAGGAAAAATAGAGAAGACTCTGTAGTATTGTGCCAAGTTGATATTAGATAGCAATTGATGTCCAACCCAAGAGGACTATGTATTTGTGGAGACTCCACAACCTTGTATTTCCATTATCCTTTCCTCCAGGAAGTCGAAACTAGAAATTCTTTGACGCTGTTGCTTGTAGTTTCAGTGTGAAAGTTTGAAGGAATTTTTCTCACCGAACAAAGAAATGGCTCCCATTTGTTGAACTGATTGTGTTTTTAGTAACAATAAGCAGCCATTGAAACTCGCATGTAATCAGCAAGTTCTGAGTGTCTAGAACTTTATCAACGTAAAAGTAACAAAACAGCTTGAAGATCCAAGTATGTGTTTAACTCTACCGACTGTAAAGTAAAGAAATACATCCACTTGTTAATTATGGGATGTAATCAATTTAACATGTACAACATCTATTTCTTGTTCAAATTTCAGATCGTACACCCCCAAATGCCTTAATCTCATTTTAGCGAAAAGGTCAATAAATGTACCACCAAGCAAACGCCTTTTTCTCATCTAATACAATCCCCTTCTATCATGATCATATAATCATACACTTTGCGAACACCACTAAGCATCTAAAGAAACGAAAGAGTAGCAAAAGATTAGCACTGCACAATGCTTAAAATCGGTATTTGGAGAGCTCCAAAATGAACACCGTTTGAAAAGAAAGAACAAAGATGGTAAAATAAGTTACAGTTTAATCCTACACATACATAAAACTAGATAAACTACGCAATCAGTAGCCTGCTGGAAATAGAATATACTTTTGTTGCCTCAACACATGTTCTGAACATGTACGTGCCGGAAGCGAAGTTCTTGAATGGCATGAAAGGACATATTATCAACCCCTGGAGTTGGCATAGCCATTTGGCTCATCATCGTCATCCCTGTAACTTCCTTCAGCACCCGGTGTGAAATCACTGTTTACAGATTCAGTCCCTTGGTCTGCACTAAGCTGTTCTTCGACGCCATTGTTCACCATACCCTGAGTGAAATCAGCATTGTAATTTCCACTATTCCCACCACCATATCCACCGCCAAAACTGCCTTGTCTGACACCTCCAGCATCATTGCCACCTTCACCATTACCATACCGCACTCCTCCACCATAGTTGCCACCACCTGTAGGATAACTGTTGTTGGAACCGTAGTTACCACCACCTCCATAATTGCTGGATGCATAACCTCCAGCACCTGCAAAACTTCCATCTCCCCCACCATATCCGCCACCGCTACCATAACCACCCCCAAAACTGCCACGAAGCTTTTCTGTGGCATAATTAACCCTTATCTGTCTCCCATGGAGATCCTGAAAAGTTAAATAAGAAATATCAGCTAGTTCGAAAAAATTCATCTCATTTGACTGAAGAAATAGACAAAAGCAATTTGGTGACAATATAAAAGAAAGGCACCAAAAAGTGAAGGTGAATAAAAAAGCTGAAGGCGTTTGTCATTCTTCAAGAATAACTCTCACCAGCAGTTCAGAAAGAAACCTGGACATAATTACCTGGCCATCCAAGGCAGTCAATGCACTTGCGGCTTCTTCAGTTGACGTAAAACTAACAAAGCCAAATCCTCTGGATCTTCCGGTGTCACGGTCCATAATAACTCTAGCTGCACGAACGATAGATATTATCCTTTCTTCAATTTCAGTGATATATATTCTAATTTGTTCAGAACACAAATTAATTTCATAGGCTCTGGTGAACCACACTTATGGAGTCCACTGCACAATTTTAAATTAACAGAGGTAAAGTCATAAGACAAATACCTTCAATCACTTCACCATGTTGTGAGAATGCCTCTTTCAGAGAGGTTTCATCAGTGCCCCATGAGAGACCTGCAGTCAATAGTTGACAATTATAGAGCAACAAAAAGAACATAGCAACTACAACGGGGAACAAAATCCTTTTACCTCCAACAAAAAGCTTTGAAGAAGACATGCTTCTTATAGCCTGGTAAAGTGATGTTCTAGAGGCACACAGTTCCAAGTTCGCGTGCCTGCTTACAATCTGTTTAAGCATATTTCCAATTTTATTGACAAAAGCCATCTTTAAACCTATGAAAAAAACAGAACACCAAGAGTCAGTATTAAACATCAACATTAAAATAAGCATTAAGATGTTAGATACAGAAGAAATTTTTGGTCGTTGAATCAATTCCATTTCCACCATAAACTGCTGAAAGGCACTAGATATTTTGAACCAGTGCAAAAAAGAAAAAGAATGAATCTTTACTTTTCTCTAAGTTCATATTCCTTTCGTCCCAATTTATATGACAGTCTTTCCATTTTGGAACGTCCCAAAATATGTGATCCATCCCATTAAAAACATTATTCAATACAATTTTCACAACTTCAAGAATTCAAATTCATTCTGATATCAAACACCTTCAGATTAAATTCTCAACCATTATTTCGATATTTTCTTCCACTTGCAAGAATATCATAACTAGTTCAAAGTAACATGTTCAGTCAAGGACAATCATATAAAAGGGAACACATATCAAATATTCCACATTTTTCATACAACTAAAAGCAGGAAATCACTAAAATAAACGGGTCATGAACTAATCATTGTATCAATAAAAAAATCCACCAATCCCCACCAACAAAACAATTAAAAAAATGACCTTTTTAGTAGCAACAATCCGCATCCAAATAGGCTCACTATTGATATCCAAAATGAGAATTTTCAATCGAGAGGAGCTGGCATAACTAGTTAAAAAGGATCATATAAAAAGTGAAAAAATCCAAAACCAAGACTTATTGTAGTAAACTAGTACTGGTGTTCAAGAAACAGAATGGAAATGGCTAAAACCCTAACCTTTTGACTAAAACTAAACAACTGTGGCAACAAATTGAAATAATAACAATCTATGTAACAGGAGACAGATATATAGGAGGAATTTTGCAGAAGAAAAAACGTACCTTTGTTGTGTTGATGAGAACTTTTCCTTAAACCCGAGCTCAGTCAGTACTCAGTAGTAGTAGGGTTTTAGAAGTTTGTGGGTATAAATAAATATTGTAAAATATCTTGGCCTTACGATTACAATTAGAAAGTCCATGGCCGTTGATGAAAGAGAGTGTACACGTGGCGGTTATCGACAGAACATTGGATTAATTGGAAAAAAAAGAAAAATCACTCCCTATATTTCAATTTATTTAAGCACATGTGTTCTTAAAATCACATGTTACGTTAAAACACATAGGTTCTACTTCAAACTTCCTTCCACCAGCTCCTAGTGAACCAGAACGAGTTGGCGAGAGAGAGACCAAAGACTGATTTGTGTTCCTTTTTTTTTGGATCGCAATTAAGAATGATCAATAAAATTCCCTTATTTTTTCATTTTGACATTGGAGATGCTTCACTTTTTTTTTTTTAAATTGTTAATAGCAGAATAGATTTTACCTTCAATTTGTTAGAAAAATATAGATTTGGGAACAAGAAAAATCGACAGTAATTAATCCTTGTCCTAAAGGAATTCAAAACCGCACCATCTTGCTGCATGGATTTGTGGTATAATGAATTTAAGTTACAAGATATTTTTACGCACTTCACGCGTCTTAAAGATAATTTATATGCTCTTAACTTGTCTTAAAGATAATTTTTACGTACTTAACCAGTCAATAAATTTTTCAATGAGTAATTGCATCGAAATTTTTAAATCAAACTACGCAATATTTAGCTAAGCAATTAAAATACTTGCAGAAGAATTATAGTTTCCTAAATCAAAACTAACATAAAACAAGACAATAAAATAAATTTTACTAGTAAAGTAAGCATAAAACTAAGGAAAAGAGAGGCTCAAGAGGGTTTGTACTTTGTAGTATATGATGAGTTTTTGTTTGAAGAAATTTTTGTAGAGCTTGACTTTTAAATTATAAACACTATTTAAGAAACAACTTTTAAGATTAGCTGTATGTTTTACACAAATTTTAAGTTGTAAGAGTTATTTATTAGGAATTTTTTAGATCGAAAAAGAGTCAAATAGACCACACATGGTGATCTCCATTTTGTTTTGGCAAACAATATGAGCAAATAAAAATGATAGGGATTCAAACCTGTAAACAATACCTCACTCTGAACACTCTTGATTGTTGGCTTACCTCACTAAACTATGTCAAGGGTGTTCAAAATATAATATACAACTATATAAAGTAATATTTAACCTATATATATACACAGTATAATCATCCTGTAAAGTGTGTTCGCTTGACCATCCTTGGCATTGTGTGGCTACATCACTGTACTTAATGCATCTTAAAATAGTCCACATACTTAACGCGTGTTAAATATAGTTTTTACGTACTTAACGTGTCTTAAAGACAGTTTTTTACGTACTCAACGCATCTTAAAAGTAATTTTTACGTACTTAATGCTTCTTAAAAATAATGTTTACATAGTTAACGCGTCTTAAAGGCAATTTTTACCTAATTAACGCGTTGTAAAGGTAGTTTTACACATTTACACGTCTTAAATATAATTTTATGTACTTAACGCTTCTTAAAGGTAGTTATTACGTACTTAATGCGTCTTAAAGGTAGTTTTTAACGTACTTAACGCGTATTAAATGCAATTTTTATCTTAACGGTAATTTTAAGTACTTGACGTGTCTTAAGGCAATTTTTACATACTTAACACGTCTTAAACGCAAATTACGTACATAACGCGTAAGAAATTTAGTTTTTATGTATTTAACGCATCTTAAAGGTAATTTTTACGTACTTAACACGAGTTAAATTTAGTTTTTACTTACTTAACGCCTTTGAAAGATATTTTTTACCTTTACAGTTCACGATGCACCATTACCGCTTCACAAAGCACCGTTAATCATTCTGAAATATCGTTAGCATCGTTAACCATTCATGCCGTTAGCGGTTCACAAAGCACTGTTAGCTATTCACAAAGCACTATTGGTGGTTCACAAAGCATTGTTAGTGGTTCATAAAGTGGCATTAGTGGCTCATAAAGCAGCATTAGCGCCATTAGCGATATACACCGTTACAAAGCTTTATTAGCGATTCACACTGTTAGTGGTTCACAAAGCGTCGTTAGCGACTCAGAAAGCACCATTAGAGGCCCTCGAAGTGTCGTTAGAACCACAACAAAGCACTGTTAGCAGTTCATAAAGTGTCGTTAGTTGCTTGCTCATACAGCTCCTTTAGCTCCACTAGCAGTTCACGTAGTTAGTGGTTAATAAAGCTCTGTTAGCACTTCACAAAGTGGTGCTAACGGTTCACAGGGCGCCATTAGAGGTTCTCAAAGCGTCGTTAGCGCCATTAGTAGTTCATGTTGTTAGCGGTGCACAAAGCACCATTAGCGGGTCACAAAGCATCAGTAGCGACTCATAAAGCGCCGTTAACAATTTACAAAGCACCATCAGCATTTTCTAGCGCTTCTCTGTCACGATCCTATTTTTTCACCGTAGGATGTGATAAGTAGGGATTTTGATTACTTATTCACACTCTTTTATTTTCGTTTTAGCTCAAAATTGCTTAAAAGTGTTCCCGAAAACTAGTAAAATGTACTTGCTTGCGGGAGTGTTAGAATATGAGCTAAAGAGATGAAAATAACTCAAGAATGAGTAATTTTAGATAAGGAAAAAAAACCAAGCTAAAAGGGCACTATGCGAACTGCACAATTTTGAGTGCGGCCGTAGATCATGAATGTCACGACCCAAACCTATGGGCCGCAACGGGCACCCGATACCTTATTCAACCGAGTACCAACATAACATATATTTCTTATCATACTTTCATTGGCAAATGGTCCAAACGGGCCGTCATGGGCTAACCAGAATAGACACAGGGGAATATTCAATATAGGATGACCCAACCTGATATAAAAACTTATACATGTGACATACGGGCCTATAAGGCCAAAATAATCGATCATACACTGAACATAGGCCGACAATGCCATACCGTCTTTCATATACATGACATATGTCTACAAGCCTCTAAGAGTACATAAACGTCATAAGGTCGGGATAGAGCCCCGACATACCAATCAATAGATGTTTAAATCATACTAACCAAATAAGCAACTCCGGAGCAAATGAAGCGCACCAATATCTTTCGCTGAGCTGACAGCCTACTTGGAGGACTCTCAACCTATCTATCAGGACATGCGGGCATGAAACGCAGCGTCCCCAAGCAAAAGGGACGTCAATACTGTTACACCCCATATTTTCGTACGTGAAGGTACGCCATCAGTAAATTGACGGAAGCTCGGAAAATGAGATATTACATTCTGCATTTTCCGTACGTTAAAGTGTCATCGTAAGTTAATCGACGTAAGTTCGGGAATGAGATTATTTTGAGATTATAAGCATTATGCTATTTCAAACAAGTAAAAAGTAAATTCGTGAAGGTGAGAGGGGAAGCAAGTCAAAGGAAACGAATTTTCGTCCAAATTTGGCATTTGGGATAAAATACGGGTCGAGCGATAATACCCGATAATTATGTACTAGTACCATGCAAGGTACCATATGACCATAGTAGTACGATGTATATAATATATTAAAAATAAATATAATTTTAAGTAATTTGAGATAATTTTTAAATTATGCGAATAATTGATTAATTACCGAATAACAAGACATTACCCCATTTAATTAATAAGTGGATAAAATTAATAAAATTTCCCCAAAGTAACGTGGCAGCCTAAGAGCAATTAGAAATGACTCTTAATTTTATATATAAGGTGACATTCTAAAAATCCATATACCATATGAGTTACCTTGGATTCTTTGTCCATTCTTTAAGAATTTGCCAAATTTTAGCACATATTAAGTGAATTTCAAATGCCAAGAACGTGAGAGCTCCCTGGTCAAAGTCTTATCAAACAAGACTTGGCTACAAAGACTTGGTATAAGCTTCTTATTATAAGTCCAAAAACTTATTGTCACAAATGAGATATAACTATTTAGTAGCAAAAAGCTAGAAACAGAAACGTTTTCCTCCAAAGTTCTCAAGGAACCAAAAGAAAACGTTGGAACAAAATAACATCTAGATTACATTCATTTGATCCTTGGTTCACAAAATGTTAGAAGCAGAAAAATAGTTTCGTTCGAATTTCTAAGAATCCAAGTGTAAATTTCGTAGATGCAAATTCGTTCAAATAATTCAAGGAACATGTATGTTAAGATCCTTCCTTCTTTTTTTTGGCATTGTCCAAATTATACTGAAGAAACGAGCAAATACACAATTTCTATAAATTACTCTATTCATAGAAATAGTAGGGGTGTCTATATTCTTGATTCCCCATGAGAATTATTATTATCTTCTGTTCATGGGTCTCAAATAATACGCAGTTGGAAAAGTTTATCTAGAAAGAATATCGAGATTATTATGTATTTTTCATGCATTTCACTCATTTATACATGTGCATTGACCCATGACCAGATGACATTATATACGCGTATATATGTAAATATATGTATATGGGATATGGAAAAAGGTTACAGCGTTATATACGCACCACCACCTGATCAGCTGATATATGATGATGATGTTGCCCATAGTGGCTGAAAGATGATTCAAACGGCGTTATATATACGTATATATGTATGTATATGTATATGAGATATAGGAAGAGGTTATGGCGTTATATACGCACCACCACCTGATCAGCTGGTATATGTTGATGATGTTGCCCACAGTGGCCGAGACGATATGATGGGATGCCCTCAGTGGCTTGATGATATTATGTACACCCATACCTATGCATGGCATGACATTTATATGCATGTGCATGATATTATAAATGTTTCAAAATTTACAGAGTTATTCAGATTTAAAGGTATTTCTCTATTCCATGTTTCATCTATTCTTTTACGTACTTATTTTCATGCCTTACATACTCAGTGCATTTTTCGTACTGACGCCCTATTTCATGAGGCCTACGTTTCATGCCCGCAGGTGCAGGTAGGCAAGCTGATGGTCCCCCTTCTTAGGATTCTTGATCAACGAGAGTTGGCGCGCTCTACTTGATCCGGAGCTACTTTTTGTTTTGGTACGATACATATATAT